GTCGCAAGGGCAAAAATAGTAACTATTTTTAAAGAAATCAGACAACACCTTGACCGGGTGAGTAAACCAAAGTTTATGTCAACAACGAGAAGCGGATGGACATCGGTGCCCTCAGTGTGTAATCCCGAGGGGAAGATGGCATCACTCACACAGCATTCTGGCTGGGATACAGAATCTGAATTTAATTGTGAAGAAACATCAGACAAACCCCACATGACGAATGCACAGAATAAAAATAAGTGGGGAGTCAGGGAGGGCAAGAAGAAGGGAGTGAAGGAATGTGGTTTTCAAAAACGCAATATTATTAAAAACAAAGAAAGGCCATGAAAATGTTCCAGGTTAAGAGTCTAAAGAGACATGACAACTAAATGCAATACTTGATCATCAACTGGGTTCTGTACTGGAGGAAAAAATGCTTTTATAAAGAGAATTATTGGATCAACCAGCAAACTAGAATATGGACAACGGGTCTGATAAAAGTACTTATTGGTATCAATTTACTGAAGCTGGTAACTGTGCTGTGGTTATTATACAGAGTAACTGCTCTCAGGAAATGTTCATTCAAGTTTACAGGGATAAAGGGCCACAATGTCTGCAACTTACTCTCAAACGGTCCAAGAAAAAAAATTTAATTTCCAAATAAAAAGTTAAAAACAGTATCTGGAAACCTCTTTAGAGGTGAGACATTCTATTTTTCAGAGGCTTCGGAGGATTGAGAAGTGCCTAGAGCAGCGGTTCTCAAAGCATGGTCCTCAGACCAGCAGCAGCAGCATTGCCTGGGAATGTGTCGAACATGCACAGGCCCACTGAATCAGAAGCTCTGGGCGTGGGACCAGCAGTCTGTTTTAACAGCCCTCCATGGGATTCTGATGCCCACTCAAGTTTGAAATCACTGACCTAAACTATGAACTCCTACAGTCCGTATTCCAGCTCCTACATTCTCCACAAAACCTAGCAAAATGCTTTATGCTTGCTGAATTTAGCCTGACAGTGAATGATAAAGCAGAAATGACCACTGAGGCACTTGGAGATGATAAACTAAAGGTCCCAGCTAAAGCATCACTCTGAGTTTCTAAAGTGAATATAAAATTTACTTTGAAAGCAATGAAGGAAGTCGGATTACTCAAGAGGTTAGTAAAAGCACTGCTGTCCCAAAAGGGAGCATATCAGCTTACAGTTTAAGTCACTGCCAATTGAAAATATGTGATAACTTACACAAGCTCTTAAGACTGGTATTTAAAAGTTAATTCTGTGGTTCTGGGAAGCAACACACAGCGATTAAAAAGCCACGCGGTGTGCATCATGCGAGATCTGCTTAGAAAACACACAGCATTCACATGGCTGTGAGGTGGCCCAGATTTGAGGTGGATGGCCAGATTTCACAAGAACACCCTCTGGTGGCATCTGGAGAGCCAAGAGTCCTATAATGACAATGATCAATTTGCCTACCGAGTAGAAAATGAAATAAATAAATTCATTTTTATGCAATTGCTATCCATCTTGAGAAGTTAAACTGTTGAAGATATTCTAGGATGTCTGCATATCATTCCTGCCTCACCATATGCCTTTCCTAATTGGCACCAGAAAGATTTCACAGGAAAGGGGTGTTACTTTGGTATTGTTGATTTAAAGGTTATATAGTCACAGCAAGGCAGAGGAGAATTCATCTTCAAAATTCACCTCCTTATTGAAAGCCCATGGAGCGTCTTGGCAATTAACAATTCCTATCACCTCTAGCTGTTCCCTATGTGAGAAGGCTCAGAACTCGCCTTACAAATTGCTCTTTTGAAGATCAAAGGGGAGCTGAATGTGTCTGTGTGCTCTCGATGAGACTGTGATTTAATGGAATTTTTAGAGAAGGCTTGCTGGCAGTGTTTGGATGACAGCCCCAGGCGGAGGATTCAGGGGAGCTTGGCCACTCTTCCCTTTGGAGCGTCTTCCCTGTCTTTAATTGGCACCTCATTAGAAATTAATGAAAATGACATCCTCTGTTCTTCCTGCTCTAGGCATCGAATGCTACAAAAAGGCCCATCACAATTCATAACACATTCAATTTATATAGCAATGGCTCTTAAGCATTATTTATGAGATGTGAATTTCTTGTCAGCAGTTAATAACCTGTACAGAGTGGAAGGGGAATGGTAAAAAAAAGACTGTGAATATATATAT